CCTGGCCCGTGTTCGGGGATGGACAAAACCCCCTTTAGTAGAACATGGTTTAGTGAAAACGACCGACCTCGGGCCCAAACCTGGTGGGCGCGGCGCCCCATCGGGAACCGAAAACGGACAATTCACTAATCGACGTGATCGACGTGTCAGGGTAGGAGGTCTGTCCACCCCCGACGTGTGGGGACGTCGGGAGGGGCTGATGATTGCCGCTGCTGCCCAGAAACCCCTCCCGGGGCGAGTTCCGACCAGCATGCCGGGGCGGATCCGACGGGGGCGACGACGAGCGCCTCCTGCGAACACGAAGGAAGACAGGGTGGCGGTGTGGACAGCTGTGCTTCCCCACCGATGTTCTGGGGCGATCGCGCGGGCAGGTCTGCTGGTGGAGGAGACCAGCGGCACGACGGGGACCGAAGGCCTGGAGCACTGCGTCGGGAGAGAGGCGGGCGGCACCACGGCCCGCCACGCCACGGACATGCTGGCACAGGTGGGGATCGCCAAGCAGCGCGCGAGCGGCATCACTCGGCGACGAGCGACAGAGGGGGAAATGAGAAGGAGGAGGCCTTTTCAGAAGGCGGCGGGAATTCTCAATGCCCCCGTGCTCTATGAACGCGTGCTGTGACCTGGGGGAAGGCGTCGAGCACTTCTCTGAAGGCTGGGAGAATCCTGGAACTTCCGAGAAGGCCTTCCGCTTCTCGCTTGCCCACCGGGCGCGCCGCCGACTCACCGCGCGTCTTGAAAAACTCCTCGGGCAACCGCACTCCCACATCTTGGCAAAACGACGGGCAACGCCTCGTTGCTCGGGAGCGGTCAAGAAGGGGGGTCCAAAGGGGGAGGTGCAAATCATGACCGGCGGCACGTGCGCGGCCCAGCGGGGGGGCCAGGGACGTAATGAAATAGGAAGAGGCGCCATGAAATCTGAGGAAAAATATCGTGGCCCCCGCCATGATATCCACCCCCCCTTAGCCACCACCCTTTCTTTGCCGCCCCCGAGCTGCCCTCTGGCACGTGCTCGCCCGGGAGTGGGTACGGAACGAGTGGGCACGGTGCCGCGCGGCGCACGCTGTGCAGCAGCGACGGCTGCCGCTGTCGGGCAGGCGGCACCGCGTCTCGAAAGGACACAGAGTCGCGGCGACGCGTCCAAACTGGACAGGAGCTGGCGCGTCCCCCTGCAGGGGGATCGTCGACGAAAAATTTAAAGAAAATATCAAACAAATGATCAAAGATAGGAAAAATACGGAAAAATGGTGCCCGGACTATGTTTTGACTATTTTTGCAGATTCCCCCTGTAGAGGGACAGGCCGGACTCAACCTCGAGCATCCAATACGCCAGTATATTTGGAGCCTTAATATATGAGAACCGTGCCAAAATCCGCCTCGTGCAGATTCTATTGAAAAAATCGGTTCTGAAAAATTATGCCCCTAGCTAGGGGCCTTTGTCCTGTAGACTTATACGGGGTACACTTTTTCATACCTAGCGCAAGAGACGAACAACATGCTGCCCCATCAACTTCGCCACGCATGCCCTGGAGAATTCAGACGCGTTGGGAGCCCCCCTTCTGCGCTTCCCAAACGTCGCAACGGACCCTCCAAAGTCTTCGTCTCTGTAGTTCCAGTGTTTGGACGGTTGTCCTCCAGATGAACATAGCTCCAGAAGTAAATGCAGCTTGGGTTTGATGCGAAATCTGCTATCATTCGCCATGGCCAAAGCGCAGAAATGTTGAGAAATACGCGCAGAATGCTCCAGCATCGTGTCTCTCGTCCAAGGGGGATTACCTGCAAGCGCAGCGTAGCCGCGCGACCAACTCTGCATGCAGAAATACATAGAAGACTCGACGGGGTCGGTCCTGTCGCAGAACTGCTCCGCAACTTCCATGCCCCACGGCATTAGATGCCGAATCATGCCAGCGCTACACCTGAGCTTGGGATGCTTGTTTGATTTGCCTTTCGCCACTCCGACGCTCAAGTGAGGCAGCCTGTTCGGCGCGCCGTTCGGAGGTTGTCTACCGTAGAACCCCTGCATCAAAAGGTGCATCTGCCTCATTCGCTGTTTCTGCGTGCCGCCTGGGACCTTCCTATTGACGACGCAATGCCAAATCTGAGAGCCCATGAAATCTGCAGATACACCTAAATCCGCGCAGCGCAGCCAACCCAACATCAAACTTCGCATACTTGCAAACGGAACCATCAGCAAGGGGCATACACGATGTCCAGAAGTTAAGCTTGTCATCGATAGTTATGGCCATGATCTGCGGCCCGTGCGCCAGGACGCGTTTTGGCCGATCTCGGCGGAGACATGCGGGCATCGAAAGTTTCGCCGCCTACCTCCTCCCTTTCCTGCTCCGCTTCCTCATCCCCCGTATCCTCCTCATCACTTTGCTCATCATCTCGACCCGCGCCCACCCCGCCCCCTCCTTATGCTCATCTTCCCCCCTCTCCCTCCCCATCAGCTGACCTCTCATCATCCTCGTCCTCCTCCTCGTTCATCGTACCCATGCGCATGCTCTTCCGATGTATGCCCCCCCCCCCCCCCCCCTTCTCCTCCCCGTCTCCCCCTCGCCCTTCTCCACGCCCCCCCCCCCCCGTTCCTACGGGCGCCAATTTATGGCGGCGCCAGCCCCCCAACGAATTGGCGTGTCTGAGACGGCCTGCCTAGAGCAGGACCCCCGCGCGTAGTAGAATTGGAAGTATAAGTTATCTTGCTTGTCGCCATCCTTCTCCTTGTCCGCCTCATCCTTCCCGCCTTCCCCTCCCCCTGCTCCTCCACTCCTTCTTCATGCACATCGTCCTGCCACTCGCCCTTTCTTTTGTCCTCCCCGCCCCTCTCCTGCTCGTCCTGCCCCTCCGTTCCTCCAGTCGACTCGCGCTCCTCGTGTGATCGCTTTGCCCTTGCCGTTGCTGCTGATGTTGGTCGTCATTCTCCTCCTTCTCATCCCCCCCTCCCCTTCCTCCTGTAGCAAACCCTTCGCGCTCCTCTGTTCTGCTTGCCCCGCCCTTCCCGCGCGCGCTGTCGACCCCCCCCCCCCCCCCGCGCCCCCCCCCCCCCCCCCCCCCCCCCCCCCACCCACCCCCCCTTCTCGCGCGAGCGCTCCCCCCAGCGAGGGGGTAGCTGTTGCAGAATGCGCATTGGAGGGCACGGGGCTCTGCGCTAAAACACTTTCGCACCAAGACTTTCCCCCGGGCGGTGCAGGGGCGGCGTGTGTGCGTGTGCGTGCGTGTGTGTGCGTGCGTGCGTGTGTGTGTGCGTGCGTGTGTGTGTGTGTGCGCGCGTGCGCGCGTGCGTGTGCGCGTGTGTGCGCGCGCATGCGTGCGCGCGTGCGCGTGTGTGCGTGTGTGTGCGTGGGGAGAATTGGGTTAGCAAATTGCGTATCCCTGAGACCTCGTGCAACTTGATCTTGCACTGGAAGCAGCACTCCGCGTCCTGCCACCCTTGCGGCTTCAGCGCATCCTTGAACATCTTCCAGTCGCCCTTGATCTGGCAGCCAAGACCCCTGAGAGGGGGTCGCCCTCTCTCGCTGTGCTGTTTGGCCCTCCACCTGTCGCTCTCCCCGAATGGCGCCCCATCCCGTCTGCGCGACGGCCACGTTGGGGTTGCGACGTGCGCGAAGGACCAGCGGACTATTTCAAACGTGTCATCCAATGTGTTGTTTGACCGTTGGCTCTTAAGCAAGCGCGCGATAGGCACGCGGAGGTTCTTGCATCGCTCCACTAAGCCAGGCAATAGAAGCGATGCAATTTCAGCGGTCACGCTGCGATCCCAATTACAAGGCACACCATCTTGCCAGATGCCGCAGGGGACTGCGTCGGAGTCGCCGAGAGACGAAACTGCATCGTTGAAGTGCGCCAGCGAGACGGGATCTGACCCAGATGTGCCAATCAAAACGTATGCGTGTCCGAAGAACGCCAAACGATCCAAAATTTCGTGGGGCAGCATTAAATGTATGTTCTGAAGCTCTTCCGCCTGCGTCTTAGTGTTCCACGCCCGCGCATCGCACACGCGCAAGGGTGGCTGGCCGCTCTTTCGGAACATCTGTCGGAAGAAACGCGGTGCGTTTCCCGGGCATTTCTCAGACGGCACTACATCGGCAACGCCACTGGCACCAGAACGGTGGATGTCGTTAGCCAGTTGGGACCCCCTGGCGCCCGACAAAATGTTGCGCGACGCGAGATCGGCGACGTTCGCCCTCAGGCGTTTGTCAGCTGGCAGCGCGCGCCTGTCATGAGGCAGGGTGCGCTTGGAAAGCATGTTGCGGCGTCCTCCCTTGAGCCAAGAGCTACGGGGTCGACGGCGAGCGCCCGGAATGGCGCGCCGTGCCGCATGGCCCCCCCTGGAGAGGGGCGAAGAGAAGAGGGGTCCCCTCGAGAAGGGTTCGCGCTGGAAGCGGTGAGACAGCGAGGTGGCGCAGGGAAGGTGGAAGACAGGGAGAGAGAGAGAGAGAGAGAGAGAGAGAGAGAGCAAGAGAAAGCAATAGAGAGAGAGAGAGAGAGAGAGAGAGAGAGAGAGAGAGAGAGAGAGAGAGAGAGAGGAGAGAGAAAAAAAAAAGAAAGAATCAGAAAAGAGAGAAAGAGAGAAGAAGAGAGAGAGAGAGAAAGAGAGAAAAAAAAGAGAGAGGAGAGAGAGAGAGAGAGAGAGAGAAAGCGGGAGAGAGAGATAGAGAGAGAGAGAGAGAGAGAGAGAGAGAGAGAGAGAAAGAGAAAGAGAAAAAGAAAAAAAAGAAGAAAGAGAAAGAGAAAGAGACAGAGAAAGAGAGGGAGAGAGAGAGAGAGAGAGAGAGAGAGAGAGAGAGAGACAGAGACAGGGACAGAGACAGAGACAGACAGGGACAGACAGGGACAGACAGGGACAGACAGAGACAGACAGCGACAGACAGGGAGAGCCCCTATCAAGGGGTGCGTTCCATCTTTGGCGTTGAAGCGTCGCCGGGCGCCTCCATCTCAAGCGTCTGCGCGCCGCGGGGATGATATGGATGTAGCTCAGAGAGCTCAGGATGTGGAAACGCCACTCACTCCACGTAGCGCGAGAACCTCTTCTTCGCCAGCTCGGTGTCGTCCAGGTGATGCTCTGCGGCGGTAGCTTCATTGCTGTTTTCATAGGCTTCGCCGGTGCCTCCTTCTCCTGGGCCGCCCGCTTCTTCCGCCCCTCGGAGTGGGCCATGAGCAAGGCCTTGGACTCGTCGGTGTCGATCTTCTCCCCATCAGGCGCGCATGCCACCAAGGAGCCCGAATCGCCCGCAGACAGCGACACGCGCGTCTCCTTGCCCGACTCATCAGCAATAACCGTGGACGGCGGGTCGGCGTTCCAGTCATACCACGTCGCCCTTGATCAAGGAGAGAGGGGTTGGACGAAGAGAACGATGATGATGATGACGACGATGATGATGATGACGATGATTATGATGCTGATGATGATGACGATGACGATGGCGATGACGGTGACGATGACGATGCTGATGATGGCGATGATGATGATGACGACGATGCTGAAACATATAATAGAAGGGGCAGGAGAAGCAGCAGCAAAAGGGGGAAGGGGAGGAGGAAGGAGGATGTCCAACCTTCTTCGAAGAGCTGGAAGCGGCTGGCGCAGCTGAAGAAGCGGCTGGTGCAGCTGAAGGGCGCGCGCTTGCAGGTGAGTCCACCACCTCCTGACTTGAGAACACGACAAGCGGGTTGTGCACTGCGTCCTTCTTGGTGGCTGGCTTGGGCGGTGGAGAATTTCCATATTGCTCCTTGATTAACTTGTACCTGGCGTCGGGAGTCCGTGGCGCACTCGCGGCTGGGGCCGAGCTTGTCGTCTTGCCGCGCGTGCTCTCACCCTCCGAGGTGCTCTCGACAGCCTCTGCGTTCGCCGTCTTCTTTTTACCGGAAGAGTCGCGACCGCGCTGCAACTTCATCGCGTCTCCGAGGGTCCTCGCGTAGTGGTCCAGCTTCTCCGCGGTCACGGCGCTCCTATATTTATTGACAACGTAGCTGACGCACCTGCTCATCTCAGTGGCCCAGCGCTTCGCCTCCTCGGAGGTGAGGTCCGTCTTCGGCGAGACGATGGCCTTCGCGAGCGCGGTGGAGCTCAAACGCTGCGTCACCTGGCACGCATCCAGCAAGAATGGCATGTTGTCCTTGAGGATTTGCTCCGTTGTACCATTGATGTAGTTCTTCTCGATCAATGATACGCGCCGCTTGACAAAGTCGACCATGGCCTCATCGCTGAGCTGGCATGTGCGGTAGCGTGGCGGCTTCTCCTTAGAAGCGCCCCCCCATGACTGCCACTCGCGTTTGGGCAAAAGTTGCTGCAGTGCATAAGGGGGATCGAGGAGGGGACAGAATAATTTCCCCCAGCACGGGGTCGGAGACAGCCCCTAGCAAGGGGTCTACATCTTGTTGGCACAAACAACAATCCCCTGCGTTGAGGGGCCATGCCGAAAACAACATGAAACGACGTTCCAATATATTGGGGCGCGTTGCGTGCAGATCTATGAGCACATGGGATTCTGCTAGGATCATATATATCGGTGTTCCGAATATATTGGTGTATTGGATGCTCAAGGAACCTGAGGTCTTCGTACCCCATCTCTCTTTAACCGAGTTCGGAGCACCCCAACAAGGGGGTCACTGATCATCGTTCGGAAGCCTCATTCAAGGACTCGGGCCCCGCAAGCAGCGAAGGTACTGATTCATCCGCGGCGCCCGCCGAGCAACAGCGACGCCTACGACTACGATTGTGTTTGCGATTGCGTCTACGATTGCGACTACGACTGCGACTGCAATCGCGGTTGCGAGTACGACCCAAACCATGCTGAGTCCTATAGCAATCCTCACGAGAGGATGCTCAAACATCCTTTCGCGTGTACGGCGCAGTGCACCACAATGAATTAGGCCATGGGAGAAGAGACCCCCAACATTCTCCAGCCCACCCAACAACAGCGGGAAAACTATTTCCGCCGCGATGACGACGACGAATGCGATTCCGACCACAACCGCGCCCACCATTCGACTACAGCCGCGAGTACAATGACGATTACAACCGCAACCCCTGATGCCTACTTCAATACTCGGGGATGGACAAACCTCCCTTTAATAAAACGTGGTTTAGTGAAAACGACTTCGGGGCCAAACCTGGCGGGCGCAAGCCTGGAAAATGACGGCCACGGCGCCCTCTCGAAAACCGAGAACGGACAATTCACTAATCGACGTGTCAGTGTTGGGGCGTCTGTCCGCCCCCGAAATACTCAATACCCATGGGAAGACGCTCACAAGTCCTCTCGAGCGCAGGGCAGCACATAATGGATAACTTCCTGGGAGAAGGCAGCCCCGAACGCGATCCGGCCCACCCGTGAGTAGATGGAACACAATCTCCGCCGCGGCAGCGGAAGCGGTTGCGGCGGCGACGACGACGACAACGACGACGACGACTACGATGACAGCCACGAAGAGGAGCTCTCCTCCTCCTCCTCCTCCTCCTCCTCCAACTCCTCCTTCTTGGGGAGGAGACGAGGAGGACCAGGGGGAGGACGAGGAGGAGGAGGAGCAGGAGGAGGACGAGGAGCAGGAGGACGAGGAGGAGAAAAAGGAGGGGGAGTGGGGGGAGGAGAAGGAAGAGGCTTTAGGACCAGTCCTCTTGACCAGGTGAAAAAGACTTACAGAGGTTACCCACTTCGGCCCTCCAGACTGGCAGGACTCCACCTGGAGCCTGGGCCGCAACACCAGCAACCAAACCTGTCCGTCTTGTTCCGCGTGCATCCCTGCTTGTGTTCCTCCCTCTGCGGTCGCCCTCACATCCTGCGTCCTGTCTCTGTGCGGATTGCGCTTCGCGCCGAAGAGAAAGCCCGCAACACCGCATCCCCAAAAAGCATGTTATGCCCGTGCGGTGATCCCCCCCACGAAGGCCCCTCCTGCGCACGCCTACGGCTCGGTTGGAGACATCACGCTACGCCCGCGAGGCGAGGCCCGCGCGAGGGCCCCTCCTGCGAATGCCGTCCCTCTGCCAAGGCCTCTTCGGTGCATCCCCAATGTGGGGCCGGCGGCGCCACATCGAACGCTCCCACGGGGGTCGGGGAGAGGGCCTCCTCCTCCTGCTCCTTCTTCTCCTCCTGCCCTCCTCCTCCTCCTCCTCCTCCTCCTCCTCCTCCTCCTCCTCCTCCTCCTCCTCCTCCTCCTCCTCCTCCTCCCCCTCCCCCACCCCCACCTCCTCCCCCTCCCCCCTCCCCTCCTCCTCCTCCTCCTCCTCTCCCCTCCTCCTCCTCCTCCTCCTCGCTCCTCCTCCTCCTCCTCCTCCTCCTCTCCTCCTCCTCCTCCTCCTCCTCCTCCTCCTCCTCCTCCCTCCTCCTCCCCCCCCTCTTCCTCCTCCTCACTCCTCCTCCTCCTCCTCCTCCTCCTCTTCCTGCCCTCCTCTTCCTGCTCCTACTCCTCCTACCTCCTCCTCTTCCCCTGCTCCGCCTCCTCCTCCTTGTGATCCTCCCCCCCTTCCTCCTCCTCTTCCTCCTCCTCCTCCTCATTATCCTTTTCCTCTTCCACTCCCTCCTCCTCCTTCCCTTCTCCCTCCCGTTCTTGCCCCTTCCCCCCTCGGCCGCCGTGGCCCGCGGTCCTCGCGACCGGCCATGGCGCCCCAGGCGAGCGGCGTCCAGGCGTTCGCGTTCTGGGCGTCCACCTTGGCGCCGCGGTCCAGGAGAAGCTCGACCACCTTTCGGAGTGGGCTCTCATGTCTCAGGGGCGGAGCCCTCCGCGTCCTCTTCCTCCTCGTCCTCCTCCTCCCCCTGCTATCCCCTCGTCCTCCTCCCCCTTCTCCTCCTTATCCCCGTTGCACTCCCGCCTCCTTCCCCTCCTCATCCAGATAATTCCATTATTCCTCACCCCCCTCTTCCCATCCCCCCTCCTCGTGACCCTCCCCCTCCTCATGTTCTTCATCCCCTCCTCCTCCTCCTCCTCTTCGTACTCCTCCTCCTCCTCCTCCTCTTCCTCCTCCCCTCTCCTCCTCCCCCTGCTCATTATGTATGTTCTTTCTTCCTCCTCCTCCTCGTCCTTCTCCCCCTCGTCCTCCTCCTCCCCTCCTCTCCACCTCCCCCTCCGGATCCCTCCTCTTCTCCCTCCGCGGCTTCCTCCTCACGTGGGATGGGTGGGTGGGCATCCTTAGGGGTGTTATTATACAGCAAGCCAGCAGTGCGCGAGGCATTCTCACTGGGGCAGGAAAGAAAGCCAACGGTTGGGCGAATGCACGGGTCGACGGTTTTCCGCCCTCCCCCATCCCGCTCCTCGTTATCCAACCTCGACCTCCCTCCCTCTGCCGCACAGCCCCTCCCTCCCCCCCCCTTCCTCAGCCCCTGCGCCTGCCAATACCAATCCTGGTCCCAATCCTAACCGCCGTACCCTCTATGCCGTTCGCCTCCAATGACGCTGTGTGCCCTTACCCCACGATACGCTAAACCATCCATGCACCAAGCTTCAATCATTAATCCCCCCTCGTCCCCTCACATCGCCACATTAAGCAGTCCTCCTTTCTCCCTTTCTCCCTTCCCACTCCTCTCCATTCTCGTCCCTCATCCCTTCCTCTTGTTCCTCCCATCCCTATCCATCCTCCCATCCTCCCTTTCCGACCCCATCCCCTTTCCAAACTCTCCCATTCCCGTCGTCTCCCTTCTCACCTCTCACTCTTCTCACATCTCCCATCCCGCTCCACCCTTTCCTTCGTGCGTGTATACTCCCACTATGCCGCCTAGCTTGTGCCAATCTGACATATGCAAGCGGCATGGCCGCTCTGTCGCCGAAGTTCCAAGACGAGAAAGGCACGGGTTGGACGCGGCGCACCTCGCGCGCGAAATGCCGGAATGCTTTTTCTGCATCAACGCCGCGGGTTTTCTGAAATCTACGTCCTGCGTTGACGCGGTGCTCACTTTTCCGCGCGCCAGCCCGCAGGCCGCGGGGCCGCGCGCACGAGCGGGCGAAGAGTACGCCCGCGCTCGAGCACCGTACGGTCCCGCTCTGGTGGCACTTCTATTTCTGAAGGGGCCCGGGGACAAGCAAATCCGCCGACCCGTCGGCGTGTGTGAGACGCTGTCGTCTTCGTCGTCGTCGCCGCCAGTCCCAAGGAAATGCACGAACGAACAGAGCACTGGCCATCGCTCGGACGTCCATTCCCTGTGTTTTTTTCGGTTTCGCGCGTGGCTTTTTCGCGAAATGATCAAGGATGCTCCTCGATGGTCCTCGCCGAAAAAAATGCACACGTCCGAGCGATGCCAAGGGCAAAGAAACGTCGCAGTTAAGTCGATCCCCTCCCCTTTACCCCTCCATGACGCGGGGGCTAGAGGAGGAGGAGGAGGAGGAGGAGGAAGAGGAGGAGGAGGAGGAGGGGCCCGGTCAAATTGCCGCCAACCGGTGGGTCCCGGCGGCCCTCCCTCCCCTCCCCGGTCCCCCCCGGGGACAGGAATGACAAGGGGGGGGGGGGACTCGCCATCGCTCGAACGTCCAATTCCCTGTGCTTCGTTCGGTTTCGTGCGTGGTTTTTTCGCCAAATGATCAAGGATGCTCCTCGATGCTCCTCGCCGAAGAAAAAATACACACGTCCGAGCGATGCCAGGGACAGGAATGACAAGGGGGGGGGGAAGAACGAGATGTCCCAGCGGGGCGCCAGGGGGGTCCCCAGGAGGGTCCCGCCTTCGGGGCTGGCGGCAGAGGCTGTAGGGCTTTCACAATACATAGACAAGTCCGAGGATTCCACAAATTTGCCACATGTTCTGAATGCAGCCTCGAAAGTATCCCTATCCCTAAGATGGGCGAACAAAAAGCGAGGACAATCTTGGGGATAGGCCCTCCAAAACTGAGGGAATCCTTAAGATCGGCATCGAGGTGAGGTGCTGTCAAACATAGGGATAGGGATATGCTCCAGGCTGGTAAATGTTCGCGTTTCACCTTCCCACTTCTCACATTTCCCGGTGCGTTCGCTCGTCAGCCCATGGAAAACCAGAGCGGGGCCGCGCGCGAGAGGGCGAAGCGCCGCCCTCGCCAAGGCGACCCGCGCAGAGTGGATCTGGCAACAAGGCCCCCGCCTCGGAGTGGCCCGTGGCCGCGCGCGAGGGGGCAGAGTCAGGGAGCCCACTGATGACGTTCGCGCCCAGCCACGCACACGAGCACGCCCCCCCCCAGTCCGCCAGTCCGCGAGACCAGCCACACGATACGCCCAGGGCCTCCTGCTCGTGCACGCCCCTCTTTCGCTCCCGAGGAGCGGCCCGCGTGCCATCGCCGCACTGACGTGGGCTCTCCCCGGCCGAGGCATCCGACCCCACTGGTGCACGGCCCGTGTCTCGAAACGTCCCTGCTTCCAGGGGGGGTCCGATCCCTCCGGTGCACGCCATGTGACGTTGGCCACACACAGGCATCGAGGCTGTTGCGTTCTCACCCATGTGCGGCCCATGCTGCCGTCTTCGCACAGTCGTCCGAACCAGGGCCGTGCGCGCGCGCGCCAGCGCCTTCCGCTCTCAAGGCGTGGACGCGCGCTAGCCTCACTTTCTGTTTCAGCCAGCACGGACTTCTATGTCATGGAAGGCAGGGCGGGCGTGCGCGGGGCCCACTGACTCGTGCGAGCTGGCCAGCCTGACGCTCACTCTCTCTCCTCAGCCTCCCGTCCCTCGCCTACCCTCCTCCTCCTGCTCCTGCTCCTCCTGCTCCTCCTCCTCCTCCTCCTCCTCCTCCTCCTCCTCCTCCTCCTCCTGCTCCTCCTCCTCCTGCCTCCTCCTCCTCCTCCTTTTTTCCTCCTCCTCCTCCTCCTCCTCCTCCTCCTCCTCCCTTTCTCCTCCTCCTACCTCCCTCCTCCTCCTCCTCCTCCTCCTCCTCCTCCTCTTTCTCCTCTCCTCCCCTCCTCCTCTCCTCCTCCTCCTCCTCCTCCTCCTCCTCCTCCTCCTCCTCCTCCTCCCTCCTCCTCCCCCCCTCCTTTCCCTCATCCCACCACCATCCTCCCCCTTCTCATCCGTACCCCCCCATCACCCTACCCGCCTCGCGTCCCCTCTGCATCCGTTCCTCCATTCTTCCTCACCGCTCCTCCCATCCCCGCTCGCTCGTGCCCCTCCCCCTCCCCTCCCTCCCCTCCCCTCGCCCTCCCCTCCCCGCCCTCGCCTCCCCTCCCCTCCCCTCCGGCCTCCAACTGCTCCCCTGCCCCGCGCGACGCGGCCTCATCCCGCCCCACCACAGCCCTCCCCTGCTGCTCCCCCCCTCCCGCTCCGGGCGGGCCAGCAGAGACGACGGCGGCTCCAAATCGGTTTCCTCACTCCATTCAGAATCGGCCCCCCCACCCCCCAAGCCGGTCCATCCGAAATCGGCCCCACCTGGCCCCAAGCCATCCGAAATCGGTCCCCCGACCCCCTCCTGGGCCCCGTCCCTGCCCGTGCTGCTGGCGCGGAGCCAGCCGTGGCGACGAGGAAGCTCCCGAGAGGCCCCGTGGGGAAGGCCGCCGTGGCCTTCGGGGCGAGCCCGGCACCCTCGGAGCGCCCGGGGCGAGGCGCGGCCAGTGGGAGCCACCCTGGCCCCCGGGGAAGCCTCCCGAGAGCAGTGGAACGCCTCTGCAACTCCCTGCCCGCCCCTCCTCTCGGGTCGGACCAGCGGAGGGGTTGCAAAAGGGGGTGCTCAGAGGCCCCCAAGCTGGGGTCCGAGCAGAGAAGGGGCACGCAGGATCGCCGATGCGTCGCCCGATGCATCGCCGATGCATCGCCGCGGTCGGCGTGGCGAAGATCGGGCTTCGCATCGAGCCGCAACGCCGATGCGTCGGCGATGCGGCGCGATCGTCCGACCCCACCTACCCGGACCCCATCTCTGGCCATCATGCGGACGTCCATTCCCTGTGCTTTTTTGATTTCCTGCGTGGTTCTTGCGCCAAATGATCAAGGATGCTCCTCGATGGTCCTCGCCGAAGGAAAAATTCACGCGTCCGAGCGATGCCAAGCGTCTGGGAGACCCGGAGCGTCAGCGCATCAGCCCGCGGGGCTGGCCCTCCCGACGCCCCGTGCCAGCGCACCGCAGGCGCGCGCGTTCGGCGGCGGGGCCCCCCGGGGACGAAGACAGCAAGACGCGCAGCAGATTTCGTCCCCCGCCTCATCCCCCTGCTTCCTCCTCCTCCTCCTCCTCCTCCTCCTCCGCCTCCTCCTCCTCCTCCATCCCTCCTCCTCCTCCTCCTCCTCCTCCTCCTCCTCCTCCTCCTCCTCCTCCTCCTCCTCCTCCTCCATCCCTCCTCGTTCCCTCCCATCACTGATGCTGGGCCCTCGCGTTCAAGAGCCAGCGAGCAGGAGGAGGAGGAGGAGGAGGAGGAGGAGGAGGAGGAGCAGGAGGACTCGCAGTCCCTCCTGCTCCTCACCCCCCTGCTGCCATCGTTCAAGGCTCTCGCGCCGCTGCCCCGCCGTCGCTGTCGGCTTGCTGCGTCCGACCCCATCGTCCCCAACCTTTCGGGGGCGGGCGTCAGTGGATGGGGCCCAGAACAGTAGGAACAGGGGGCCTGTTCAGCAAATGTATCGAACCAAACCACCTGGACAGGTTGCCCCTAGTGCAGAAACGGGCACTCAATTTAGGCGACGTCTTCATTGTGCTATTTGGGTTAGGGGTCATTTTATTCTCGATGACCCCCTATACCCCCCTCTCGTCCGACCCGGTCGGCCCGCGCCAGGGGCAACCGCGGAGTCATCAGAGCAGCGCTTGTGGCCTCTCCATTCTCCCACGGTGTCGTGTGTGCCTGGAGCGGTGGGCGGAGCAGGGCAACCACCGATGTCCCCCGCCGCTGCCGCCGAAATCCCCCCCGCCCCCCTCTCCGCACACAATGGCCGCTGCCCCGAAATGCGCCGCTGCACCGATGGCCCCACCGGTGCCAGCACCGCCGGCTCCTGTGGAAGAAACATACAAACACACACACACACACACACACACACACACACACACACACACACACACACACCGCTCCCCCACCCCGGGGGCAGCCGCAACCCCGCGCGGCCACCGCGAGGTGCCCGCCGCGCGCGGCCGTGTGCAGGGCGGTGTTTCCCAGGTTGCACCTCGCCTCGAGGTCGGCGTCGGCGTCCAGCACCATGCTCGCCTGGGTTCCTTCCTCCTTGTCATCTTCCTCCTCCTCCTCCTCCTCCTCCTCCTCCTCCTCCTCCTCCTCCCTCCTCTTCCTCCAAAACCTCCTCGCCCCTGCTCCTCCTCCTCCTCCTCCCTCCTCCTCCCGCTCGCCCCTCCTCGTCCGTTCTCCTCCCTACTACTCTGCACCATCATCGCCATCGTCTTGTTCCTGCTCCTGCTCCTGCTCCTGCTCCTGCAACTCCTCCTCCTCCTCCTCCTCCTCCTCCTCCTCCTCCTCCTCCTCCTCCTCCTCCCAGGGGGGGAAGGGGGCGGAGGGGAGCGGGGATCGTGGCAGCCCCCACGAGGCCGTGGGGGCCTCGAGACAGGAGCAGGGCCCTGCAAGAACCACCTCTCTAGAGGAGAAAGAATTGCACAAGCATAAATCTAGGGGGGAAACAAACCTACCTCGCTTTTGACCACCCTCGCTTCCAAGAGATACCAAACGATGCCAAATTGCAGCCTGTACTGGTCAGGCCGCTTGACGAGGAGGCGCCGTGAATTAACGACGCTTGGGGATTTTTTTGCCTGAAGCGAACCCTCCCAAAGGGGTAGGTTTTTTTTTCACGCTCTGACCTGCAAATCGCAAAGGAGCGGCCAAGAGGAGAGGTGGGGTGGCCAAGAGGTGGGGGTGGGGGTGGGGTGCAAATCAATGACCGCCGGCGGCATGTGGCGCGGCCCAGCGGGGGGGCCAGGGACGTAATGAAACAAGAAGAGGCGCCATGAAATCTGGGGAAATATCATGACCCCCGCCATGATATCCAACCCCCCCTAGTCAGCACCCCCCTCTTCTCCGCCCCCGACTCTCTAGAGGAAAAAGCATTGCACAAGCATAAATCTTTGGAGCTTCGCGAAAAGTTCTTGGAGCGGCGCTGGGCCCCCTGGCAGCCGGAGCGCGCGGGGGGGCGGCGCCGGAGGCGCCCCCAGGGAGCCGTTGTCCTCGAGAACTGCGGCAGCCACGGGGGGAGAACCCTGAGAAGGGGGGGGGGACTTCTCGATAGGAAGGAACCACATCGGGAAATGGTTGGCCGACGACCCTTCGGGGCCTTCGCCAGGGCCCGGGACCGTCAGAAAACTAGCCGGGTCGAAAAACCAGGCGCGGGGAAGTACACGAAGAGAAAAAATAAGCAACGTCGGCATACTGGGGCGGCCCACCTCCTCTCGGTGGAAAAATATACGGTGCCAAGTGCTTGGCCATGTTCGGCCTCCCGGGGGCCCTCACTGGAAGAACAGCGAGGAGGATGCAGTGCGGACGCGGCCGCAAGAAACCCGCGCAAGAAACCAAGCACTGAAGACCCGCGCGAGCGGTGCGACGGGGGGGAAGCTCAGGGTACCCTGAACGCAGCAGCTTCTTCAGCGGCCGCGGGAGGTCGCCGCGCGGGGCGCGGAGCGAAGAACACTGTGATACCCTGACGAAGCGCAGATGGTTTCTTGATGTGCGCCCCCACTGTAGGGAGAGGTAGGGGCGCGGATGCCCATGCGTCAGTATGGGCGGAAGGTGGTAGGGGCAGGTCTCCAAGGCCAGAGAGCGCCCTCGAAGACAACCTCCAGGCAGGCTAAAAACCTTCCGCGAGCGCCTCAGACCCACGCGGGCTGCTGCGAAGGAGGATCGCCATGGCCCATTGGTTAGGGCATGGGCGGGTCCTCATCACCTGTGGAAGCCCTGCTGAGTGAGCGGAGGCTCTCGTGACCTAAAAGGTGGTGATGGAGGGGGAGGAGGAGAGAGGAGAGAGGAGGAGGAGGCGGGAGGCTGAGGAGGAGGAGGAGAAGCGGAGGAGGAATCAGTCGGCCCCGGCGAGCACAACGCGGACGCCGACGGCCTCGAATCCTCCCCCCGCTTCCTGCCCCTCCGCCCCTCCCCCCATCCCCCCTCCTCTTTTCCCACTCTCCTCCTCCTCCTCCTCCTCTACTCCTCCTCCTCCTCCCTCCTCCCGTCCTCCCTCCTTGCTACCTCCTCCTGCTCCCTCCTCCTCCTCCTCTTTTCCGCCCCTCGCCGCCCCAAACCTGCCCCTCCCCATCCCCTCCTCCATTTCCTCCATCCTCCTCCTCCTCCTCCTCCTCCTCCTCCTGCTCCTCCTCCTGCTCCTCCTCCTCCTCTTTTCCTCCTCCTGCCGCCCCCTCCCTCGGCGTGAAACTGAAAGGGCAGCCCGGCCACTGCAGCCAGGCAGACAGGCGCGTGAGGCGGGCTGTCGTGGGCCGGATTCGTGCAGGGCTCACCCCCTGCTCCGGTCTGCCGGCCCACCTCCGTCCTGTCTTGGCAACCAGGAGGAGGAGGAGGAGGAGGAGGAGGAGGAGGAGGAGGAGGAGGATGCTGTCGTCGTAATTTGCCGAGGAGGAGAAGGAGGAGGAGGAGGTGGCAGGAGGATGTTGGCGGCCAGCGGGTAGGTCGTCCATGACTGGCCTGGGCACGACGACCGGGATTCTGACTGCGTGAAGCACAACGCAAAGTCCTCCTCCTCTTCCTTCTCCTCCTCCTCCGCCTCTTCCTCCGCCTCCTCCTCCTCTTCCTCCTCCTGTTGTTCCTCCTCATGTTCTTCCCCTTCCTCCTCCTCGTCCTCCTCCTCCACAATTACACAATATGAATACCACCCTCCTCTCTTTCCTGATGACGCCTGGAAGATATCTGCCCCCCCCCTCCGCATACTGTTTG